CCCTGACAGCAAACCCTCACACAGCTCTCATCCTTCCTCAGACCTTCCTTGTGCACTGCATCCAGCTGCTCACTGTCATCCCCCTGCACTGACAGCACCTTTTCTCCCAAGTCTGACAGTCATGATCTGATGGCTCCATCTGCCTGGACTCACAGGCTCCATCTGCTCACCCTTCCTTCTCTGTAGCCATCTCCATCCCCCCCCCCTCCACCAGTGATTCTCACCCAGGGGTGCATGGCCTCCCAGTAGCCTATCAGAACATCTTCTGGATGGTGTTATTGTTGGTATTTGTGAGCAGATCACTGCTCTGCCTCTGATGTTCTGATAGGCCACCTGGGGGCCATGCCCGCCCCCCCCCTCAGGTGGAACCCCCCAACCCCCACCCCTGGTTAAGAATCACTGCTGTGGATGGCCACCTTTCCTCTCAGACCTTCACTCTTCAGTCCCAAGCCTTGAGCTTTCTGGTAGTGACTATTGAAATCCTCACTCGAGCATCGCAGCACTTCCTCAAACGTTCTCCTCGTAGAACCGCCTTTCACTCGGTCAGTCCTTCACAGACAGCACGCCACTGCCTTCTCTTTTCCTACAAACTGGCTCTTCACCCTTTCCTGCTGTCCTTTGTTCAGCTACTCATTTTTCTTGGGCGGTTTCAATATTCTCCCAAGCTTGTAGTCATCACTATAAACACAGAATCTAGAACCATCCACCAGCTCAATTCAGGAAGATGTCTTCTCAATGCCTAAAACCAGGCTTGTGTCTCCACCCCAGTCCCCACTGCTCCCAAAACTGCCCTTCCATCCAGTCCAGCAAGCTGTATTAACCCTGGCCCAAATCCTCTCTCTGCAACCATCCTCACCGTCCTTCCTTCCCTGCCAGATCCAGACTAAGAGCCTGGCTCCACATTTGCACCATTCTAACAGTATTCAGGGTTCAAGATCCCATTTCTCCCTGCTGCTTGCTTCCCACCCCTGCTTGCTTTGGTTTGGTTTTTCTTCCCAAAGTGTGGCTTGCAAGTTGGCCAGACCGCTCTTAAGGGCCTCCTTCTGCCTCTGCGACTTCCCACTTTCTTGTGCCTGCAGTTGTCCAGCTTGTGTCCCTGCTCTCTGCTCCCTGCTCTCTTCTCTCTAGTGTCTCTGCCCTGTCTTCTACAGCTGACTCCACCATGTGCTACATCATCTTGATGTACCTCCTTCCTTCCTGCAGCCTTTCTGCTTCAAGCCTGTTTCTTTTTGTGCCCTCTGGTTAGTGGAAGACTCCCAGCATTTTCTCTGTGGCCCATACTGCTCTAAAAACCTAAAACCTGCCACTTGGTCTTAACTCATGACTCTTGTCTCTAGGACCTTCTTCCTTCCTGTATCTGCTTTCATACTCAGATGGTTTCCATTGCTGTCCCACCACCACTACTGAAGCTGTGCAAATCACCTCTCTGGGTTTTCCATTGATTCTCCCTGCTGCTTATCGTAGACTGCCCTGCCTTCAGCTCTCCCATGTCAGCCATCCTCCTCTTCTTTCCTCTTCTCTCAAATGGCAAGTTAGAAGAATAAAGCCAGTCCTCCCACATCCTCCTCCTCCTCACTTTCTCACCTCCACTGCAAAGCTCAGAAAAAGAATATAGCCCTGCTCATTGCAGACACACCTTTTAAAGCCCACTGGATGTTCCTTTTTTCCTTCCTGCCACTTGGAAATACAATATTCATTATACTTGTATTTATATTTGAAAACATTCTCCTTATGTAAGTACCACACTACATCCTCTTCTTTATTTCCTTACCTTTTATCCTCTCGATCCAGCACACGGTAGCCTAAGCCCATCCATCCTATCATCAGACCCTGGCCTTCTAGACCAGGCTCATTCCACTGCTCATGGACTAGTGACCTAACTTCACTCTAAACCTATGAGATTCCCATGGTGTTGGAAGGTCCTTCCTACCTTAAGCGGTTAGGAGGTCCTTCCTACCTTGAGCGGTTAGAAGGGCCTTCCTACCTAGTAGTTGGAACGTCCGTCCTACCCTGGGCAGTTAGAAGGTCCTTCCTACCTTGAACGGCTAGAAGGTCCTTCCTACCTGGGCAGTTAGAACATCCTTCCTACCCTGGGCTTCACCCAGACCCCTCGCACAGTCTCTCTGTTGTACAGCACATCTCTCTCCTTTCAGCCAGTCTTGAACAGTAGAAGCACAGGTTCAGAGGTCAACTACGGAGTGGCTGTTCCGCATTGGTACCCAGCTGTGCCTCCACCATTTGCACACATCCTGTATCCACACTCTTACTGGACTCTCTTCCGGAGTCCAGTCCCACGTTTCTGAGGTGGCTTAACAGTTGTCTGTGCAGGAGTCTATAAGGTGCACCTCACCTGGTCTCCTCTAATTAACTCAAGCCACTCTTGTCCCTTTGCCAAAAACGCCATCAGTTCCATCCTACAAACACCCGGGCTTTTGCTCATCTTTTCTGTCCCGATAAAATCTGACATTAATACCATCTATCCAACAAACTTGTCCCCTGAGATCACCAAGTATCTCAGTTAGGGAACTCTACTGTCTGCTTTATTGTTTTCCATAGTGGCCCCTCAACCTTGACTGAATTCACCACAAACTCATGAAATTTTCTACTGAAATGCCTCTTCTTTTTGTCCCACACGAACTGCCCTAGGCCAGTTCAACACCACCTGCCACCGTTCACTAGCAAGCCAAAGATCTCTATTTGTGTTCCATGCAGGTGGTATAAACTTTCTACCATCATTCCCTGCAGATGTTCTCTTCTCTGTCACCAACACTGTGTTGACACTACTAACTTCACTTCCTGCCTTCCAGTCAATGCATGGACTCATCAGTCTTCCCCTTCTCGACTCCCTTCCTGACCTTCACCCATTCCAGACATTACTGTCAGCCTCTGTGTTCAAAACCAGTTCTCCTGAGTCCATGCTGTTGGAACCCACCCCTGCCAGCCTGGCGTCCTAGTTCTACCACATTAAAGCAAGTCAGTTACTCGTCTGAGACCTTTATATCCAACTGATGAACTCATTGGCCTCCTATAACATAGTGTCCTAAGATTTCATGAGGATCACGATCACCACAGGCTCCTACAGATGCTTCCTTCACCTGTTTTCATCCTACTCTAATTGACCCAGACCATGCCTTTTTTCTTCCCTGGGCTACATTCCACACTTTCTATCTTCTT